TTTTGCTCATTATCCTGTTAGCAACTTGTCAGTTTCTGCTCGCATTCTTCATTATGTGGTGACATATATTATTTTCCAGCGCGCGCATAATCACTCAAAGGTGCTGGAAGGGGACTTTGTCATCCTCTGGGCCCTCCTTCACAGTCAGCAGGTGAACTGGAGGCATTACATATGCATACTGATGTGGAAGGCAGCCAAGTCAAAGAAGGCTGAATTGCCTTTTGCATTTCTGGTGCAGAAGATTCTGCATAGATTTGGAGTGCCTATGGCAACAGAGACCTTGAAGACCGCCAGAGGCTGGAATGCTATATTTCGGAATCGCATCCAACCATGAAGCAACTTCAGGATTGTTCTCGATAAATTCCTTGTACCTAATGTCGAAATTTATCTTTGAACATGTGTACCCTGCAAAAAACCATGACATATGCATTGGTTAGTGAATTTCATCAACGTTTTCTTCAAATGGTTGAAAATGTGAGTAATTATACCGTACATTACCTAATTTCATCAACGTTTTCTTCAATTCCACATTCCTAAAACGGGTATTGAAGTTGCTTCCGATGTGACGTAGACAAAATACATGATAAGCATATGGAGGCTGCCACCCTCCGTGATCTTTCACCGCCCTTATGATGCTTCGATGACGATCGGATATTAGACAAATACCATGCCTATGTGTGACATGAAAACGTAAAAGGCTAAGAAACCAGGACCAATCATCCAACCTCTCACCTGGAGGAACAACAACAAAGTCAATAGGGATGAGCTCAGAAATTATTTACAGTATGAAGTGGCAAAGAAGGGTCACATGCTTTCACATACCCCAAAGCAAAATTATTTACTCACCTGGAGGAACAACAGCAAAGGCAATAGGGAGCAGAAATCCATCTCCATCCTGAGATGTTGCAATCAATAGAGTACCTCTGTACTTCCCATACAGATGAGTGCCGTCAATTTGAATTATAGGCTTGCAGTGTTTGAATGCTTCAATGCATTGGTGAAATGTCCAAAAAAACCCTTTGAAATACGACCCTGTCTGTATAAACCCGACGTTCATCAAAACATTGATTTGTATCAAGTTTGAACACAGAACCCACATTCACCTCCGTCATCTACTTCAGCCAATTTGGCAAGAATGCGTACGATTTCTCCCAGTCACCAAACAACTTAACGATGGCCTTCATTTTTGCCTTCCAGGCCTTCCTGTACGTTATGTTGTATCCATATGTTCCCTGTATCCTCTCCTGTATCAGAGCTGGTCTTGTGGATGGATCTTCCTTTAACATATCTGGAAAAAAAAAATAACTTTACCATATTCTCAATTAATCTGAATCATTAAATACACAGTAGAATACATACTCATTATAGCCGCACAAATGACATTTGAATCCAACTGTCTATGATCCTGTGCTAGGCCTTGATTTAGGCATGTGTGACCTTGACCCCATTTACGGACCACCCAATTAGCTCCCTTCTTCGGCTTAATTGCCCTCATATACCAGGGACAACCGTCAGCATGGTTTTTACACTTCATAACAAATCTTGACTCGTCGCTTTTTTCAACTATGGTTGTCCTGCGCCCCTTCATACAATGTATCTTCACAGCATGTTGCAATTCTGGTTTGGACCCAAATTCTTGTTGCACAAATAACGGATCTCCTAACTTCCAACCTCCGTGCAAGTCATCATCGCCATATAGGATCTCCAGCTCGTCATTAGGGTGCGCCCAGTTAATGAATGAATAATGTTGGCTTTCATTCCATAATGGCTCCTCAGACCCTGCATCTAAAGATCAACTCTCATTTGTCTGAATGAATACCACCACAAATAATAAATTGTCTAAAGCAAATGTTCAAATTTAATAACTTACCACTACTGACTGGGTCGACATGAAGTGGTGACAAGGCTGGGGTACCGAGACTTACGGCGCTCATGTCAGCCTCAAAATTACCGTCCACGTCAGTGTCTGACGAATCACCTTCTGGAATAGCACTTTCAGGTTCTCCCTCATCTTCGCTGTCCACATAGTCCTCGTCTTCATCCTCTTCATCCTCATCCAATGCTACCTGAGGAGGTGCAGAAGATCGTACAACTGTATCTTCTTGACCGGTACAGTGTGCAGTAGTGGTTGTATGCACCGGTAAAGATGAAGATTGTCCAACATCAACTTCAACATATATCTCAATATATTTTAATACTTTCCATTCAACAAACGCATCTGTTACGAACTCCACATCTTCATCATCATTTATATCGTTTCCAATGTAGTATATTGTATCCATATCCACTACAGTCTCTAACCTGGCTATCATGCGGTGGATGGAATGTATGCCTTCTGACCCCATTTTTTGAAGAATTCTCTCCTTCAGTTCATTGCATGTAGTGCCCACTTTGATTTTCATCGTTTTTGTTTTTCCTTCAAATCGGACACCGTGCGGACCTTCAAAATGCCTCCAATTGTAGTAAATAACTATAGGAACCATGTTTGGACTTGAACTCATCTTTCACACAAAAATTAGATCTAGGTTTTGGGTTTGGAGGTTGGTTCGGATTTTTTAGCACAAAATGGGAGTGTGGAGATGTAATCTCAATGTCCCACCAAGATTCAGCTTTCTGAAATGATGAGATGAAATATGTGTGATGTTTCGGATTAGAGAGGGTAAGAGAGAGAGATTTGGGGTTTCAAAAACCCTATACCTCGCAACAATGGCCGAAACCCATACATATTGGGGTTTCTGGACGCGATTTACCCGGGTACACTGATCCATACCCGGGTAAATAATTCAACTATTTTCTCAGATTCAAGAACTCTACCCGGGTACACTCCTACATACTCGGGTAGATAAAAATTTTCAAAATTTACCCGGGTAGGTAATGGTGTACCCGGGTAGGCTTCGTGGTCAACGGTCAAACAGGGGCAGATTGGTGTTATGTTTGTTGGGGAGGGTAAATTTTCGAAATAGTTTTGAATGAAGAGCAATTTGATAATTAATTATTAATTAAGGGTCATAAGGGTCAAAAAGTCGATATAATTATATTAAAACAAGACAATGATTTATTGCACACATAACGGACGCGCGCCATTGACACTTGTGAAAAGCTGAATCTAGGTGTCGTTCCACTCATTATGTTCTTTTTATGCGTTTGAGCAGGAAAAAGCGGGTCAAAAGAAGTTATTTAGTAAAAGAGTCAAAATGAATTATTTAGTAAAAGAGTTAAAAGATCGACTGAAAGTGAAAACCTTTTTGTGTTCTTTTAATAAAAATTATAATTTTTACCAAAAGGTGATACCTCATTTATTAAGAAGGAAGTTGAGTAACTGAAAAAAGAATAAACCTCGATTGGATCTTTATATATCATTTTTTTAAAGGTTTAAATATCTTTATTTCTGACTCGTCCGTACTTCGAATTAGTTTCATGATCGATTGAAAGAATCGAAACTTATAAAAATACTAGAGAAGCCAATTCTTATCAAAGAGATAATTAGAGTTGTGTTAACTAAAACAAATTATATCTTTTTTTATAAATTTATAGTTTTTCTTAACTCAATTTATAATATTAATATTAAACTTTTATATATAGGGTACTTAAATATTTCTACGACCACTTTAAATAAGATTGTCTGCAACTACCTTTTTAAACTAAGTCGGACCAGTAAGACATAAAAATTATATTTTTTCTTTCCGTCACGTCAGTCGACAATATCTGAGGAGAGAGAAAAAAAGAACAATTTATTGTTATAATTATGTCTTACCGGTCAGACTTAATTAAAAAGAAGTAGTTATAGATAATATTATTTAAAGTGAATGTAGAAATATTATATATATATATATATATATATATATATTTTTTTTTTTTTTTATCCATAGAAAAGGTTCATGTCTGTTAATTTAAGGTTAATGTCTATATATAATAGCGAAATATATAGACCCACATTTAAGGTTCATGTCTCCATCTCCAGCTCCATGACTGCTACTTTCACGAGTCTGATTTTTCTTTCGCAAAATTAAATTACATAGCTGACGGTTGGATTCCAAATTACCGTCGTTGTCATTCACACCCATAGTTTATTAGGAAAAAAAAAAAACATTTTTTAATATTTCTATCAATTTATATTCTTGCATTATCAGTTTATTCTTTAGAATAAAAAAATAAATAAGTTTTATTAAAGATCATCTCTGTTAATTTGTAGTACTTAGATTAAATAAGAAAAGAAAAAAAAATATTTTAAAAAATATTATCACGTACACCCTAAATTAACAAAGCGATCTCTTTCATGGCATATGGCATCGTTCACGAAAAAAAAAACTTTTATAGCATCTTATTGTGTTATCTTGAATGTTGTTAATTATCACATTACGCATAAAATTTTTTTAATATTAACCCAACAATCAATGAATCGACTTCTTATGTAATTGGAAAGGGAATACCTGAACAAAAAATGCTAGAGAATTTTTAGTTTATCAGTTTTTTTTTTTTTTTTTTTTGAATACATTATCAGTTTTTTTTCTCTCGAGTTGAAATATTTTATGGCATCAGCGTTGAAGTAAGAAGTTCCTCATCGATGCGCGGAGTGCAATAAATTAGTGTGATATTGCGTGGAAGGTGTGGGAACAATAATAGTCTTGTATAGTTTTGTCATTTGAAAAGTCAAAAATCATAAATTGGTTTGTGTTTACCTCGTCTGCCCACGTTGCATGCAGATGGCCCAACTTCCAATCGGAAAATTGCCTTACAGTGTACTTGAATAGCACAAAATTTAATCACTTCACATGTAGACCCCCAACCAAGTATCTATCTATACGTGAATCTAATCGTGTATGGTTGTAAGTAAGTGTATAGGTTTTTTTCAGTATTTGGGAGTTGAGGCTAAAAATTAAGAACTGGAGGACCTACCAAAAAGTAGTTAGGAATCAACCGAGACACAACAATTAATGCGGAAAGCAAATGTTTTAAAAAGAAAGCACAACAGCTTCGCACTCTCACAAGAATGCAAAAATCTGTGCTAGATCAAGTTGGAGCTCGTGAAGTTTGAATTTTCTCTTGATATCATGTAAAATTCAGTCAATATATAGCATAGCATAGCATAGCATAGGAGCAAGTAACTAGTGCTCCCAATAGCCTGTCTGGAAATTAAGAGAAACATGGGCATCATCATGTCGGTGCGCGTGTTAATATTGTTATATACTTTCTTGGTTGTTGCGGCCGCATCGGAAAGAGAAGCATTAGAAATTATGACAGGAGGTGGCGGAGGTTATGTTTATGGTTCTCCTCCTCCTCCTTCTCCTTCCCCATCTGGATGTTCCCCACTGCCACCACCGCCGCCACCCCCTCGGTGCCCACCAACCATGACCCGGTTGCAGAAAGCTCGCTCTGTGCTTCTAAAATTCGCAAGTTCTATCAATGACACAAGTGGATATACGAAAAACTGGAAGGAAGCAAAAAACCCTTGTAAATTTAATGGGGTCCGATGTGCCAAGTATCCAAACACAAGTGAGTTAGCAGTTGCGGGACTAAACCTGAATGGAGCCAGCATCTCTGGTCTCAACCGTAAAAATGTGAGCCTCTCCGGTATATTGAACAAGTTACAAGAGTTGACATTCTTCCACGTGAACTCCAACAACTTCGCCGGCCCAATCCCAAATGAAATCATCCGTTACCCCTATTTCTTCGAGCTAGACCTCAGTAACAACAAACTTGAGGGCCAGTTTCCAATGCAAGTGCTTCAGTCCAAGCAACTTGTCTTCTTGGACCTCAGGTTCAACAATCTCTATGGTCCAATTCCACCACAACTCTTCCTGTTGGATCTCGACGTGATTTTCATCAACAACAATGACTTCAGCGGCTATCTCCCAGATAATTTTGGGTCCACACCGGCCAGGTTCCTTTCTTTTGCCAACAACAAACTCGCCGGCCCGATTCCCCAAAGCATTGGCAACGCTTCCAAAACCCTCACCGAAGTACTCTTCTTGGGCAACAACATTGAGGGGTGCTTGCCCTACGAAATTGGGTACCTCAAAATGGCCACCGTCTTTGATGTGAGCAAAAACTGCTTAACGGGTCCCATCCCTCTCTCCTTTGCCTGCTTGGAAAAGATTCAGTTCCTGAATTTGGAGCACAACCAGTTTTACGGAACTGTTCCGGAGATGGTTTGTGAGCTGCCGGGGCTCCGCAACGGGGGCAACCTGTCGTTATCGAACAACTATTTCACGCAAGTTGGTCCTGAATGCAGGAAGCTGATAGAGGCCAAAGTGCTGGACGTGAGCAACAATTGCATCCTGGGTCTTCCAAATCAAAAACCATACGAACAGTGCTCTGAATTTTTCTCCAAGGTCAAGCCCTGCCCAAATCCCAAGTATCTCAGTTACATCCCTTGTAAGGGATACTTCTCGCGGTCGACCACGCACACCACCGCCGCGCCTGCGCCCGTCACTTACAACACTCTCAAACCACATCGGTTGTGATCGTTTGTCCATGTCATCAGAACTCTACATCGATCATCCCTGTGTATTTGTATTTGTATTTGTCGGTTAATTATATTGTTCTTTATATTATTATTATTCTTATTATTATTAGTATTTATAGGCACATGTTGTCGTGTTTCCTTTTTTTTTTTTTTTTTTTAAAGTATGTTGTTGTCGTGTTTCTTTGTTATAATTTATATGATGAGTAATGAATAAGTATCCATTTGGCCTGATCTTCTCCTTAAAGGAAGAAACACTGTTAATTTTACATAAGCTCTTAAAAATAAAATCAACTTTTATTTATTTATTCAAGAAAAAAATGTAGTCGCTTCCAGCTTCTGACTTTTTTCTTTAAAAAACACCCCAAATTTTCGGAAACTTGATATTTTTATTCCATTAATTATATCTCCATTTTAAATTTCTCACTGTTATGCTAACTTACACTTCTCTCGTATCACGTCCCCTTTCCCCACCAAAATCGGCACACAAAACAACATGTAGAAGGGAGCTCGAGTTACTCTACTCGAGCCTCATTTAAAATTGTTGGCAAAAAAATTTAATAAAAAATTGACAATGATAGCACAATCAAATCCTTAATATCTATATATTCAAAAATCTAAAAATAGAAATGTTAAGATTTAAGGAGAGAAAAATCATATTTTCCAAGAAAGAAAGTGCTACTATGGCACTTCCAAGAGAAGTTCCTATTAGCTCATTCTCTGGGATTTTAACCACAAAAAATTACTCCTATGGAATATGGTGGAAAAACAAATGAGATTATTCCCGAGGTCCAAAAGTTTACCTCTTGTAAGTTTATTCCTCAAGTTACTCCAAGCTTTTCCTTCAGCTCATCAAGCAACAACATCAATTCCACCAACAATAGCCTACCAAAGGCAAGTAATTAATCAATAACAATCATTTTACATCTATTGATACCTAATTATTTAATTACTATGTTAAATTAGACATCTTAAACTTTTTAAGAATACAATATAAGCCTCAATTGGATTTGTACATCTACGCATGTCGCAAGCCAACTGCTTCAAACCAAACTTTCAAAAATAGGGTAGTAACTTCAAAATGGAACTAAAATTAATCCATATATCCAGTTGTCCTAATATTTTGTAGAGTTGAAGGTCTGTGTGTTAGATTTACATAAGTCCAAACCTTACTCAATTTGAAACTCTGTTGCTCAAGTTATGTCCACTTTACTACATGTTCTTGACTAGGGCACTTTAGCACCCAATAGCATGCTTTAGGGTTCCTAGCAAGTATTTTTCACAAATTTAAAGAGCTCTAGCTCTCTATAACGCTCTCAAATGGGTGCTTATTATCTTGGAGCATGTTTTAGCACCCCCAATGGCTATTTTCTTCATATTTAGCATTCTTTAGCGCTCTTTAGCACGCTCAAACAAAGAGAAATCATTTTAGCGCCTTCTAGGTTCGAACTTGAGGGGTTCTATTGATGTCTTAGACCTTTTTAATCACCTAAACATGCCATACTATCAATCTCTCTAATAATCAAACCTTAAAACAGCAATCAACCATCACTTTCATCATAAACACCTATAATCCAAAACCCTTAAATTTTATACATGAAAACCTAACTCATGAACTCTTAAGAAAGTCCAACAAAAGTCATGGTTTCTCACTTCAATCCTTCTAAAATACCAATAAGGATGAAGCTTCAAGCTTCATTAGTTGAAAATCCTTGTTCCTTCCAAGTCCTAGGTTCATAAGACACAGGATGAAATGAGTTTTCTTTCCCTTTTTGTTCTCTAACTACAAAAGTTCCATTTGTATAATGAGTTAGGGAAGTGGGGAAAATGAAGAAGATGGCTCTATCACCACTCCTTTGGTAGATCAATAGGAAGGAAGGAAGATGAAGTATTGGTCTTTGGGGGAAAAGAGGAGGACTATGTTCGTGGAAGAGTGAGAAAAACGAGAGGAAGAGAGAGAAAATTTGGGGATAATGAAAATATCTAGGTTGGGGAAATAACTTTTTACCCCCGGTTCTACTCTCTTTTCACAACTCCACCCTTGGGTCATACGATTGAGACTTTCAGGTGAGTTGGGTCCAAATAGGGTGTGTCAGATACTTAATTTGTTTTAGGTCTCACCCACCCAACACTTATAATATTCACATTTCTAACCTTAAAGTGACTTAACTTAATGTTTGACTTTTCAACCGATTAATCCGTTTTAATTATACATTAATCCTCAATTAATGCCATTTAATTATTTGGGTTATTGCAATTGAGCTATTGTTTTTGGGCGGGTGTGCTTGTTACGATCACGACAAGTATACCAGTCGTACAAGTAATAAGTAATGAGTAGAGTTATCATTTCCACAAGGATTAAATGCACCAATCGCTATTCACATTATTTCCCTTAATCTGAACAGATCAAAGTAGTTGGAAGAGTAATTTTCACTAACCAAATTAAAATAAAAACTGTTGTAATTAAAAGTAATTCAAACAAAGAATGCGAAAGCTAAGACTGGTAAGAATTCAATAACGAAAAATGTAGCTAGGGTATACTTCACCTTCGATCCTTCTTGATTAATTTAAATTAATTTTAATAATATTTTATCTCAATTATTTCAATTTACTCATCTTCTAATTAATTGATTGGTTAAATCCTAATAGCTAAGTGCCTTTAACCTTTTAATTCAATTAGAACTCTAATGTCTTAGTAATTCCTTTCACATTAAGCCTTAAGAACAATGAATTTCAAGAGTTTGCAATTCCTATAAGCCTATGTCTAGATCATGAAAGAATTGGTGTTTATCTCTGTCAAGATTAAAATCTCAATATGCCTATTATGAATCCTAATCCTCTTCATCCCTATATGATTGATCAAATCATACAAAAATGCATAAAATTAATTCCAAAGTAAAACACAAATAATCTGAGACAATTTATTAAAGAAACAATTTAGACTAAATAAGGATTCACGTTGGATCTATAACTCTAACTACTAAGAAAACTAGCCAAATATAGCTAGCTTAAACAAATCAAAGAAATAAAATGAAATAGCTAGACCCCCATCTCCAACCATCACCCAATGAGTTGTCGAGGGATAACTCATAGCTAGACCCTTTTCTTGCTCAACAACAACCTTGTGATTGATGCTACCTTCATGAGTTGCTAAATTAGTCAATGGATGAGCAGCATGATCTTATAACGCCTCAACTGTACAATTAAGCGCAAGTAGCACCCAAACATGTACACTCGCTAGTGCATCAAAGCATGTAGCAACCTTTGTGTTGTACTTGACATTAGTTGCAAACATAGCCAAAACACCAGTTATACGTTCTAAAACTCCATTTTCAATAGAGGACCTCTGCAATATAAGATCCTTTAAAGATTATATTGAGTAAGTTTTAGCAATGGCACATTTGCTCTCTTCGCCAATCGGAAGATTCCAAAATTCCCTATGAGATGCATAAGAGTTAGAAGATAGGAGATTAGATAGTAGGACATGAAAGCTTGAGCATACATGAGTCAACTCAAAAAACATCTCAGCCTCACAGGATGACAATTCTATATTCCCATGCAATCCACAACCAAGCAATAAAGTATCCCAAATTGATTATGTATGATCCTTTGGTGCTTCCCTAATCATCGTAATTGTGTCATGAAATATTCTAGATAACTTGAACCTAAAGACACCAGGAAACACTATGCTCATCAGCTAGTCAAACATTGTTGCCTTTGCTTCAATACCCAATAACTGTAGTTGATTTTGCTTCATGCTTGTGAATAGGGACCAAGTAGACTATACCATATTTATGGAAGGGAATTGGATGACCCATATTGAAATCTGTTGTAAATAATAATTATTTAGTTATTATTTAGTCATTTATTTGTTGTATTGGGCCAAGCTCATTAGGTCAAAATTAGGTCAAATATTCTCTATAAATAGAGAACCCTTTGTACAGATTATTTACACAATTCAATAATATTTCAAATACCCTTTTCTTTCAAGTTGGTATCAGAGCTCTCGATCCTGAGGGCTCTGCTTCCGCGCCTATTGTCTTTAGAACAAGAACCTTTTATTCTTTTTGTCTCTCGCTGCCATCAGCCGCCACCGGATTTTTTTCGGGGACCTCTTGGACCGAGAAGATCTCTGTTATACTGGATCTCTGTTATACTGGATCTCTGTTACTGTCCATCGTCTCCATTATTCTTCATCACAAGACATCATCTGTTCATCACGATTGGACCCTTTCCCGGTGGTTTTTCAACTCCGAACAGACCCAGAAAGAATCGCGCTCACCGGACGACGTTGCTCCAGAAATTTCAGACCGGACGGCCACCGCACGCGCCCACACGCGCCGCCCCTTCAACCGCGAGTGAAGCCCACGCACAGCCAATCTCACCGGCGCGTGAGACCATTTTTCCGGATCGGACCACCGCGATCTTGATCGTCCCTTCATCCTCTTTCTGGATCTGTGCTCCTCTCTTTGATCGGACATCGTTTGGTATTTATTTGTGATTTTTTTGCTTCTTGGAGCTTTTCTTTAACCATTTTATGTGCAGTATGGCCTCTTCTCAAAGGAGTTCTTTTTCAAAATTTTATGATGGTACCTCTTCTAGACCTAAGAGAGATGATTGATAGTGTTCTTATTGTAAAAGAACAGGTCATATCAAGGATTTATGCTTTCGCCTTTATGGAAAGTAAACTGTCTTAGAAAAGATGGCAAGGATGCGTGGTCAAGCGCATTTTACTTCTTCTGAAATAACCCCTGCACCTAATGAGACCCAATCTGCATTTCGTCCAGATGAGTTGGAACGACTCCGAACCATTCTTGATTATCTGAGTAAGCCATCTGATACTAGTGCTTTGGCTATGACTGGTATGAGCTCCAAAACTCATTCTTTCATTTCTTTATGTAATGATTTTAAACATTCTTGGGTTGTTGATTCTGGTGCTACTGATCATATGGCTTGTTGTGCTGACTCATTTATTTCTTATCATCCTACCATTGGAACTCATACAATATTCATAGCTGATGGCTCACATACATCAGTTGCGGGTTCTGGTGACATAAACTTACAGCAGTCCTTACATCTTAAGGATGTTCTTCATGTTCCTAAACTATCCATGAATCTTCTTTCTATTCACAAAATTACAAAAGATTTGAATTGTACTGTAACCTTCTTCCCTACCCATTGTGTTTTTCAGGATCTCACCACGGGGAAGACGATTGGTAGTGTTAAAGAGCAAG